GGGGTTGTTTTGGGGGGCTCAGAGGGCTGAGGAATGAGGAGGATTTGAGGTTCGGAATTTGTGGTTACAATGTGTTCTTCTGGTAGGGTTTGCAGGGTTCGGGACCCTAAGCCCTAAGCCCTAAGCCCTAAACCCTAAACCCTATCCTTTCTAAACCCTAAACCCTAGACCCTAAACCCTAAACCCTAAACCAACCGTCTGGACCACATGGCCGGGTCTTATAATTTCGCTTTGCAGCCCCTGCACAGGCCAGCTCCAGGGGCACTCGCGCTCCTAAACCCTAAACCCTAACCCCTAAACCCTAAACCGTAGGGAGTCTGGGACTTCTAGGTAAATAGAACCTTTCAACTAGGATGCCCAGTAGTACCCTTTTTCCCTTTTTTGGGGGTTTAGGTTCCTTTATAAACCCCTTTAAGCAAAAAATGGCATCTCTTTTTAAGCCTAGGTTACTGGGCAGCCTAGTCTAGGTAAATGCAAGCCTCATCTATAGAACCCTTCCAAAGGATTGTACAGGCTACCCTGAAGATTTAGGGTGACATGGCTTCTGCTTGCCCCAGACCCTGTGAGCTTGAACTCCTCTAGCCCGCAAGTGTCCATATAGTGTCCATATAGCTTTGTGGTATGTACTTGGGCCGGGTTTCGCACATCGTAGCTTTAGGGCCCAAGAATACACTATCCATGTACATGGACCCTTAGGGAGCACGGAATGAGAGCTTATACAGCTTATGTACAACAAACCCACAGATAAGCCCTTTAAGTACCCTAACAGGGGTAGTTGGGTCACAGGTACAGTTATATCTGGGATACTAAACCCTAAACCCTAAACCCTAAACCCTAAACCCTAAACCCTAAACCCTAAACCCTAAACCCTAAACCCTAAACCCTGAACCGTAAACGCTTGGGTTATAAGTACAGCTATCCCTGGGTTGCTAAGAACCCTGACCCTCCAAACATGCGTCGCACGCTCTCAGCCGCAGCCTTGATAGCCTCAATCTCTGCAACATTGGTTTAGGGTTTAGGGTATAGGGTTTAGGAGATAGGGTTTAGGAGTCGGGGATCCCGGATTCCTTCGTGTCCCCCCCTCTCCCCAACAGAAAGAAAACCCTAGACTCCTCAACTCCAAATGCTTTGGAAGGGAGAGGCGTTGCTTAGGCTTTGAAGTTTGGGGTTTAGGGTAACCCGGGAACCTTAGAGCACTCCTTTGTTGAAAGTCCCGTTGGGTTTCGGGTTTAGGCTTCAGAAGTTCAGAGAGGGCTTAGGGCTAGGGTTTAGAGTTTAGGGCTTAGGGTTTAGGGTTTAGGGCTAGGGTTTAGGATTTTAGCGCTCAGTTCAGAGAGGCTGTTAGGGGCGATGGACCTGGTGCTGATTGCGACCCTTTTGGCGCTGAACCTGGTCGCAAGCCTCTTCTTCGCCCTGGATAAATGGCAGGCCCGGCGGGTTTAGGGTTGAGGGTTTAGGGTTGAGGGTTTAGGGTTGAGGGTTGAGGGTTGAGGGTTGAGGGTTGAGGGTTTGCGGGTTTAGGGGCTTGTGGGGTTGGAGGTTTCGGGGTATAGGGATTAGGGCTTGAGGCTTTTTCGGCGGGTTTCAGGGGTTTAGAAGTCTTTAGTCATTAGGGTTCAGGGGCCTTTATGGGGTTTACGGTTTAGGGGCTTTTGGTTTGTTATTGGTTTTGGGGTTTAGGGGTTTTCAGGGGTTCATGGGGTTTATATAGGGTTCCTAAGCTTAAACCGTCCACCCTGAACCCCCAAACCAGACACACCCTCGTCCCACTCCACAACCCCGAGCTTAAGAACTCAACACCTCTTGCTTTTGTTTGTTAGGGTTTAGGGTGGAGGTTGTAGGTTTTTTAGGTTTCTGGGAATCGTAGTAAGGGGTGTTCTGAAATCAGGGTTCGAAGCGTAGGTGGCCTTGGGTTCTTGAAGCAACCCCCCAAACCGCAACCTCCAAAGCGCTGTTTAGGGTTTAGGGTTTAGGGTTGAGGGTTTAGGGTTTAGGGTTTAGGGGTATCTACGTCAAACCCTACAAGCCCCGAACTCTACAACCTCCAAGGGCCAAGCCCCAAAATGAGAAGCCGGGCCCCCCCCCCCCCCCCTCCCCTAGCTCCCCTACGTAGCCCTAAACCCTAAGCCTTACCTGGAGAACACAGTGTTCGTTGATTTCGGGCACTGCTGAAGGTTGCTCCCTTTTTCTTCAGATTTACGGCACTGACAAAAACAACACACAATTTACGGCACTTTACGCTTTTTTATGGCACTTTGTTATGCATGCCAGAACCACCACTTCTGCACGGTGCCGCAAATTTCCTGCCGAGCTGGAATTCTGGCACTGCAAGAAGTAGCTGTTTATTATCGGCGACTACCTCGGTCCAGGTTATAAACCCCAAACCCCAAACCCCAAACCCCAAACCCCAAACCCCAAACCCTAAACCCTAAATAACCCGAAACCATCTTGAAAGGCCCGGCGGGGAGGTTTCCGCATCCCCCGGAAACACCTCGTGGTTCTGCTGCTGCTGGGCCCCTTCGTGGCCACTGTGGCCATGGTGCTGCTCCACCACAAGGCGCAAGGTTTAGGGTTTAGGGTTTAGGGTCTAGGGTCAAGGGTTTAGGGTTTAGGGTTTAGGGTTTAGGGTTCCCATTTCTGGGCTTAGGGATTCAGGTAGTTGTAAAGCCACGACCCAGAGGAGGCCCTTGGTGCCTTCCTTGACGGCTTGGGTTCCCTGAGAAGCCGCTTTAAACCAAAAAGGGCAACAGTTTTTTTCCTAGGTTACTCTTCTACTAGTTGCTTAAGAGCCCAAAAAAGCAACCATAAGAATCCCCATATTACCCTTACAAGGAAGAACATATATATATATATACATATATATGTTTGCGGGGGTTCTTAAGCAGTTGGTTACTCTTGGGTCTAGGAAGGCCTATGGGCTTAATTTTGCTTGGTAGCCCAGTGGTGCCCTTTCCCCCTTTTCGGGGTTCAAGGTTCTTTTATCAAGTAGCCAACCCCCAAAAAGGTACCCTCATTATAGTATGATCACTGAGCTACCATGTGGAGTTCTGGGTCTAGGTTCAGAGTTGTAACCACCGCCGCTGAGTGCCCAGGTTTGAGCAGCTGAGGGTTTAGCGAGACTTCCTAAGTACCTTCAGTATTTAGCGGAACCCCTTGCTTAAGGTATATCACCTGAAGCAAGTTACGATGCTTAGTGTAAGTTAGGGAATAAAGTTAGGGAATATTCCTTTTCTAAGGGCAGATCTGGGAATACTAAGTCCCTACCCTTCCGGCTAAACCCTACACCCTAAAGCCTTAACCCCAAACCCTAAACCCTCAACCCTGAATCCTAAACCTTATGGCCTTATGGCTCAGGTACGGAAGCGCCGTTTCGTGATTGCAAGCGTGATAGGAGGAGCCACTGATGCGGGGTCAGGGTTTGGGGTCCAGGGTTTAGGGGTTGGGGGTTTAGGGTTTAGGTTTCGGGTGCAGGCTTGATAGAGATCTTGAAAATCTACCCATGGAATCTACCCCAAATAGCTTGTAGGCCCCACTTGCTTCATCCCTAAAACCTACCTAAGCCACTATGCTGTAAACCCGAAAACCTTGAAGCTCAAACCCTAAGAAACTGTAAGCCCTCAACCCTGCCTAAGAACACACCTCTGTAAAACCCACCCAAAAACCTCAAAGCCTAACCCGCCCTTAGTTAGAAGTAACTCTAGTTAAGCCTATTCTAAACCCTAAACCCAGCATCCAGGAACCCCAAAATATCCTTGGTAGCCTGGCGCCCTTTTGCCATGTTTGTTGGTTCAAGGTTCCCTTATAAAGTAGCCAACCCCAAAAAAGGGTACCCTTCTCAAAATATGGTTCCTGACTGGGCTACCCTCAACCCTCAAACCTAAACCCTAATCCATAAACCCTAAACCTGCTCGAAGAAGGAATCCTCCACGTTGCCCTGGCCATTGCGTGGATGGAGCTCATGCACTTCGACACAGGCGATGAACCTACAAAGTTCTCGAAAACGCCCTTAGGGTTTAGGGTTTAGGGTTTAGGGTTCCTAAAGGCATACTGTATGGCCGTAAGGGTTCATGTGCCTGTATAGCAAATTACAGAGGTTCCCATACAGTGACTGTAGGGCCCAAGTATATACCCTAAACCCTGAACCCGAAACCCGAAGCCCTAAGCCCTAAACCCTAAGCCCTAAACCCTAAACCCTAAACCCTAAACCCTAAACCCTAAACCCTAAACCCTAAACCCTAACCCTGTCTGGGTCCCATGTGCCGGACGCCCGGTTGCCTTGCAGGCATCCTGGCCTACGCCGTGCCTGGGCATTTGAAACCCCCCTGTGATGTTTCGGCCCCTATAAGCCCTAAACCCGAAACCCTAAACCCTGAACCCGAAACCCGAAACCCGAAACCCTAAACCCTAAACCCTAAACCCTGAACCCTGAACCCTGAACCCTACAGAAGCCCCAAGCCCAAGAGAATCCCTAAGCCCCAGAGCATCCCCAAGCCCTGGAAGCCCTAAGAAAGTTAGGGTTTAGGTTCAGGGTTTAGGGTTTAGGGTTTAGGGTTTAGGGTTTAGGGTTTAGGGTTTAGGGTTTAGGGTTTAGGGTTCCCGTTCCCCCCCCCCCCCCCCCGACACCTTCAGCATGTTGTCTACTCTCAATTTCATGAAACAGTGTCGGCATACCTGCAAGTACACAACACAGTGAGATGC